TGGCTACAACCTCTTAATTTCGTAACACAATCTTTCTTCAATCAACTGCAACCACTTCTTATCATGATTCAATCCTTAAATGTTGAATGAAAAGTACATTATTACTTTTACTAATTCTTCTCGTGATACAATCTCAATCTGTTTCAAAATAAATTACAATCACTTCTTCTCTTTATTCATTTTGTATATGTTAAACTAAAAATAATACTCCTACTTCTTATTTTTTTCATTACTTAATTTTTTTTTTTTTCAAATCTGACTATTTTTTTGTAAAAAATTAATAACATTAGGATGTCTGTTTACGTAAAATTATGCTATTAATTGCTATTAAGGCCAAATAAAAAAAAAAAAAAAATGGAATAGTAAAAGTTATATAATTTTGTCAAGATTATATAAAAAAAATAAAAGTAAATGAATAAATTTTTTTCGTACTAAATAACAGCAAAAACGTTTACATAAAGTCAATTTCTTTGAGTTCATTGCTTTATTACTTTAGCCAATTTAATGTCATTAAATAAATTCCGTATTTTTTATAATATGTAATTGTACTATCTCCGATTTCTTCAGTAAAACACTTTTGAACATAACCAGCAATGTAGACAATAGAATATAAAATTTCTATATCTATGCTATCTTCTAGATCTGCTAAAATGTAAATAATATCAGTTTTCGTATCATCTAAATCAACAAAACATAAAAGACACGGCTATCATTTCCATCTACAATAATATTCAGCTGCAGCAGCAGCTTAGCATGTTGAGTATGTACTTTTTCAATAACTGACTTAGTGGCTATGATATAAGTACCTCGTGATCCATAACGTAATTTTCCAAAGCATTTTTTAATCGAATCAGAAGAAAACCATCCTAAAGTTACAAATTTATTTCCACTTAATAATGGATAGCAAGATAAATCAATTAGGTCATGACAGGTATGTAAATGTGCATTGCTTGTATCTTTTGTATGATGGTGAAATCGTTTACCAGATGTTGATTTCATAATTCCAGCCATTGATGCAACAGCAAGCAACTCTTTTAAGTTAAAATCATCTGAAGATCTGATTACATTACGAAACTCATCCCTGAATCTAAGATTCAGGGATGAGTTCCGTATTGTAAGCACAACGACATTTGTCATTCACTATTTTCCAAAAATCTATAATCATCTGCAAAAAGTTTGAATAATTGGCAACTGATAATCACAACCTACAATGATTGTAGGTGAAACGACTTGTTCCAAAATATTCAAAGGCCCTGATTTTTGTATCAGGCAAATCTACAGTAAAACTAACAGAATGATTACATTTTCACTACATTTAGATGCTTAAATAATATTTGAATTTCACGATCTTCATCTTTAACTTTTAGATATTTAAGAGCTTCATTTAAAGCTGACTATGTATTAAATGAAGTTATGCTGTTTTTCGAAAGATGTTTAACAGTATATTTTGAACTATAATGAAATGCTTCAAACATTAAACTTTGATTAACTATCAGTAAAAATAGTGGAACCCCCACAATTAAAAACTTTAGAGAGGAAAAAATTAAAATTGTTTTGCTTTTAAGTAATTATATCATTTTCAGTAGATAAGGACTTTTCAATATTTTGAAATTTAAAGTTATCAATTATTTTATACTCTTCAAATTCATTTATTTCGATACTTCTTTGTAAAGAAGTTAAAGTATTTATCGTTTTATGTGGTAATGAGGATAAATAACTTTAAGAGATATTTGGAAACACTGATGGAGGATTAATTGGTCTCAATTTACCACGAAACAAAGTAAACTCAGCGTCATCTGGCCAATATAATTTACAAACGATGTTATAAATATTTTTGTAATGCATTCTTATTTCATATAAGTATAAACATATAAGTTTTTGGAGTTTGCTCCATTCAGTCTATGAATGATAAACTGTTTTTATTAGAGGAGTCAGAATATTATTCAATACTTTTTCCGAGTTGTATTAATTTGAAAACAAATGTTGTTTAACATCTAAAACATCATCGGTACAACATGAAGTTGTTTTTTCAAAACAAATTTCTTTCATTATTGTTCTCGCTTTAACTGTTGCTTTGTTGCGGAAGAGGTTGTTTGGATGCCATCCACTAAGGTCTTTAGTCTAAGTTTCATTTCAATACTATTAAGTTATACATTTTATCTAGAGAGTTAAAACATATTATTTAAATTTTTTACTTAAAATGGCCAATACAACTTTTAATAAAATTATGATACTGCTCAAAATTATTTTCTTTAGTGAGATATTATGACCATATTTAAGTGCAAATATTAGTCGACAAGTAAAACAATAAAAACACCTTACCAAGTAAGTATCATACCTAAGTTCTTCATTATTATGATACTAAATAAAATCTCCCTCTTATATAACCTGGTTAAAGCAGCCTTGGTCGGGAAGCGAGTGCGATCGCACTCGATAATTGACCACGGAAATATTATTTAGTTGTGAAAAACCGGCCAGATTTTTTAGTCGTTTTGAGAACATTTCAAAAACAAGCAAAAAAGCGCAATAAGATTAACTGGACCGACGAGAGACAGTTAAACAAGAAAAATAGCTTTTAACGCGAAAAACGCGAAGAGCAATTATTTTTGAAACGTCGCTCTTTTATAACTTGTTTTATAAAATTAAGCGACATTTTTTATAAAAAGTAACAACTATAAAGAAACAAATATTCTATGATTTATCAAAGAGTATATACAATTTTTATTTATTTACTTATGTCTTATTTCCAGTGCTGGATTGAGGAGGTGGGGTGGGGGTAGTAGGGCTCTAGCCGCGGGACTCACAATGTTAGGGAAAATAGTCAAGAAAAAATGCAGACCTCGGCCCTAAAAAGTCCAACAAGATACGACTAGCTGATTTATTTATAAATAAAAAAGTTTTTTCAATAACTGTTTTATGCTTCGCGTAGTTTAAAAAGTTTAACAGATTTGAAACGATTCTTAATAAGATGAACAAATGAAATAATTAAATAATTGAGTTACTGTAGAAATTTAATTAGTTAGATAGAAATTAACAAAAACCGTTAAATTACTTTGTGAGGAGAAAGCGGAACTGCTTCACAATACCGCTGATGATGTTTAGTGAGTGGACTTCATAGTTATAATTAGTATTTAAAACAGAAAAAAGTAACTTTAAGTATAACGATTTTGTAAGAATGACTGAAGCAAAAATAATTGAAGTTAGTAAACTAATTTCTAAGAACTTAAAACCTTTTTTTTCTTGGGAGAAAGAATCAGTTATCGGGTACACTGAAGGTAATGAATTAGAGCTTATTAATAATTTCATTGAAAACGCAGTTTTTATTAAAAGTATTTTTGTTTACAATCAATGCACAAATTTATTTAAAAGATTTTATTTGAATAAAATACACATAGATAAAAATACATAGATAAAAATACATTACATACATAAAAAATACATTGTATGCATAAAAAATACATCCCTTATATATAAAAAATAATATTACACTAAAAAAATCTAAAATATATTTACAAAACGTTGACAAGTCAAAAAATATAAATTTAAAACATTTATTATTGTAAACAAATGTTAGTTTAAACTATTTATAGCTTTGCAGATGTGGCTCAAAGATTTAAAATAATAGTTCGTTTGATAGTATACTCTTAAAATAATTTATGCTAGAAATCTTAACAAAAACGTAACAAAATTCAAATAATACAGTTTTTTTAAAATATTTCAACAGAATACTCAGTATATTTGGTAAGTTTTTTTTGAATACTCTAGAAACTTCGGTTAGTATTTTTTGAACCGATAGAATTAGTTGTTTGTAGATTTGGTGGGTTTTTTGTGTTCGCAAATATTTCTTTTTTATTTTTCTGCACTAGAACATTCAAGTTTATGTGTGTTTCCATGTAAGTCCGTAAAACAAAATATATTTAAATTTACGACAAAATAAACTTATTATTTTGCGGACAAACAAAGAAACATACATAAACTTCAATGTTCTCAAAACGACTAAAAAATCTGGCCAGTTTTTCGCAACTAAATATTATTTTCGTGGTCAGTAATTGAGTGCGATCGCACCCGCTCCCCGACCAAGCCTGGGTTAAAGTGAGAAAAGCGACCTTGTAAACAATACAAACTCAAAAAAGAACAAATACAAGTGATTAAACAGAGAATAAAAAAAAACAAATAAATAAATAAATTAAAAAAAAAAAACACAACAATTTAAGTACTTTCTTAACAATTGTTAAATAAATAAGGGTAATGTGAGTTTATAAATGCATTACATTAAAAAAAAATTTCAAATATAACTTTAACAGAAAGTCTGTCTAGTCCTCTACTTTTTTACGTTAAGTTAAAAATTAAAAACAAAGGATAAAGTTAATTTCTGTGTTTTTTATAACGCGTTTGAGGATAGCGTTCAAAATCTATCAAAAGAACGTTTGCAGTGAACATAAAATAAACGTTCGACCTTTGTTATTTGAACGTTCAATAACTGTAAATCGAAGTTTACAAAAGTTGGTTCACGTAACGCCTGCACGTTACACGAATCTAAAAGAATGTTAAGGGAACGTTTCTTGAACGTCAATTTTTATAATGTATATATAATTTTCCCGAACATTAACAGAACGTTTGTAGAACCTGTTTGTAACATTCGTCAAACGTGCTTGAACGTTTTGTTTTAGTTGAGATCTGGCTTCCAGTTTTTTAAGCAAACCACGCGTTGGCAAGGACTGTTATTTAGTAAGCCATGGTTATCAAGCCAATTGTCCACCTATTTATACGTCTTTGGTGTAACTTAAACATCGGCACCTTATACAAAGTTATTATATATGTGCAATGCGTAACGCTTTTTTATAAGTTCTAGACATGATATTAGGCGTGTCATACTATGCATTTTTACTTTAATAAGAAAAAAAAAAAATTTATACATATATAAAAGATGCTTTGAATGCCTTTTTTATATAGGTTTTTTTTTAAAAGTTACTTCGGCCTTTTTGGCATGTCCTAAAGATATGGGCATTTTTGAAGCATCTAAGTTTCGTATAACGCGTTGCAACTAAATTCAGACATTTAAAAAAAGTATTTGGAGCGTCTTTGCTTAACAAAAAAGATAATATTAGCTCAGTTTCTTGAAAAAATTGGTCTTTATTTGGCTAAGTAAAAATATAATAAATATATTTTGAAACCGACATTAGGGTACAAAAACCAAGAAAGGTAAACTTTTAAAACAAAAGTGGTTTCATAAACGCAAATGTACTTTTAAAAATATATAATGATATAAAGTAAACAAAAATTTATACTATATCATATGTTATACATTTCTAAGTTTGCTTTTTTTTAAATATCTTTTCTTAATCTTATTCTAACATCACAACTTTACGTATTCACACTGAATTATTATTACTACTATTATTAAAATTATAATTATTATATTTATTATTATTATTATTATTATTATTATTATTATTATTATTGTGTCTTTTTATATTTTGTATTAAAATACAAATTGAATATAAAGGAAATAAAGTTTTTAATAAATTGATTGTAGGCAATGAAAAATATATTTTCAAGTCTAATCCATGTGGAATATGTGTTATCATAAGCAACAACTTTTCAAACACGAAAATTGAACGGAAAGGTACAAAAATAGATCTTGATAGACTTGATAAAACATTTTCAAAGCTAAATTTTAAAGTTATTAAAAAAGAAGATAAAACCGATAAAGAAATCTATCAAATTATTGAGAAATACGGGAAAAAAAAAGTTGATTGTTTTGTGTGTTGTATTTTATCACATGGAGATGAGGAAAAAGTATTTGGAAACGATAATAGCCCTCTAACTTTTAATGAGATGCGATCTGCTATAAGCAAGAATCAAGAAAATTTACTCAAGGGAAAACCAAAGATTTTTTTTATTCAAGCTTGTCAAGGTCCTAACGCAGCAAATCAATACGTTGAATCAGATTCTATAAATCAATACGTTGAATCAGATCTTAGAGAAGAACTTAACTTGACGGAGAACGAAGACTTCTATTTTTCTGTATGCACAACCCCAGGTTTAAAATATCTTATTGTAGTTTTATATCATGTATGTATAAATATATATATATACATACATATATATATATATATATATATATATATATATATATATATATATATATATATATATATATATATATATATATATATATATATATATATATATATATATATATATATATATATATATATATATATATATATATATATATATATATAATAATGTATATTATTATTATATATATATACATATACATGCACATATATATATACATGTATATATAAAAACACATACAAACATACATATATACATACATTTTATATTAATTATTATTATTTTTATATTAATAACAATACATCTAAACAAAAATGGTAATTATTAAGATTGTTCATCATTTTTGCTTAAAAAATTATCTGAAAAAAGATTTATTGAAAGGTACATGATTTAACTATTTTCTATTTGCGGACAATGAATGGTAAATATTGTAAATTTTACTTATTTTTTAACCAATTTTTCAAAATTTTTGTAACCTTGCCCTGCAGTTTATTTTATTTTAATTTGTTTTATTTTCCTACCACCTACTGTAAATATTTTTACAAGCTAAAAGTAAAAAAACTTATAAAATTTAAAAGGAAGAATAGATATCATTTTGCAATGTTTTCTTCTAGGATTTGCTTGAGAATGTTTCTCTGTTCTTTTACGTTCCACCAATCTAATGAGTATTTTAATGTTTTCCTAATGTCTTTTTCCTTAATATCTGTATTCTATTTTTTTCATTCCTTAACTTTTCAAAACATAGTCCACTAATAAAACACACAAGCAGTACATCATCTAAAAAAGATTTTTTTACCGTGGGATTGTTAAACTGAGATTCAATAACATCAATCGTTGATTTGATATCCAAAAGACAAATAAATAAGTTCAGTTTAATCTGGTGAAGGCATTACGGTATTTTTTGAGTTTTAAATAACAAATTTTTGCAATGTTTTGAAAGTTTGAAAGGCAGTTTTAATGCGCTTTTTCCGATTTTGTCTAGGATTTGCATTGCTACGTCATTGCTTTTACAAAGTTCCAGACCGTAAGTTAATGTTGGTACTACCAAGGTGTAATATAATTCTGTAATAGATTTTAGATAAGAAAAATGGATTCCAGATTGAAAAAGAGTTTATACTGACCAAAAATTAGATATTTTTTAGCTATATTTACCCAATCAAGTGAGGCAAACGGATAGTACTCTGTTTCATATATTGGGAAACAGAGTCCTCTACGTTATTGTGTAAATTTATTCGTTTACCATCAAGAGATATTGGACAGTTTTGTAACGGTCTTTTATCTTACAGTAGGAACTCTGTTTTATGAGGGTTTGGTTTTATGCAGTTTGATATGCAGTTTGCATAACAAGTTTTCATTAATTTTTCCAGACTGGAGAAAGTTGAGCTTAAAAGTATAATTTTATCAGCATACGCTACCACAGTTACCATATATAGACGTTACCATATATAGACGTGCCTACATTGCTTTCATTTTTAATGGTTTTGCGAAGGTCCTATAAGTATTTTAAAGGTGCGGTAACAGAATTGAATCCTTTCTTATTCCTTGTTTAAGATAAAACTCATTTGATTTGCAACCTTGGTATTAGATAGTTGCACTGCTATTTTAGTCTAATAAAAATGCTTATGTTGCTTTTATAGTATAATAAAAAGATTGTCCTAACTATATACCAAGGTAGTTTTTTTTATCTAAGTACAACTTATAAAAAATAATTTCACACTTTCAGCTATCAAAGGCTTTTTCTGCATCCAAGGAGCATAAATAAATTGAACTTTTTTTATTGCAATGTCTAATAGTTTCACTATTTACAATTTTTGCAAGCAGGATTGAAGAGTTAATTGAAATCCATATTGTAACGGGTGAGTGCTTTTGATCTCTGGACATATTATTAAAATCTGATATTATATATTTTTTATAAAAATAGGTATTTTACTTATACCTCAATAGTTATTTGGGTTCACCAAAGACTTTTTGTATAATTTAACTTGTCGTATAACAATAGAATAAGACATTGATTTTGAAGTCAATCCATAATTGATTGAGAAGTTGAAGAAATTAATTAACCATTGCGTCAATGCGTCACAATTTGCGTGTTTCAAATGTCCAGCTGAGATGAGTCGCTAGACTTGTTTGATTTTAAGGCAGAAATAGCTGCTTTAATATTTTGTTTAGTTATTATTACATTATGAAGCTTGCACAGTGAGATTTTTATATTACTTTGACTTATTAGAGGAGTCTTTAGTAGTTTTGCAAACATATTTGCAAATTCTGTGGTAATAGTTTTGTTACCCTTTTTTTTATATGATATATGATTTGATATGTTTATGTGATATGATGATGTGATTTTTATATGTGGGACCAGAGCCTTCAGTTACATTAACTAATTTTTGGTTATTTGATTTTATAAAATGCAATAAAACTACCAAGAAATTATTTTTCTTATAATTTCATCTTTATATATATTTTGTAAGCAATATGGCCTACACGTGGCCATATTGCTTACAAAAGGAATTAAAGTGTGAAACTATACCCGACAAGAAAGGCAAAGTAGCTCACATGTGGCCATAGTATTTAATATTAGAATAAAAGTGTGAAACTTTGTTCCAGTTGATGATTGATATATATGCTGATGATGCGTGTGGCCCACGCGTGGAACATATAATGCATCCACAAAATTATTCCACATAGTGTGGTATAATATTGAAAAACTACGTCCTAAAATAGATGTGGTCATCATGTGAAACACACAATCTTGCCTCAGTTTGAAATTTAAATTTTAACCTATTGTAAACTACGATTCCATTGCAATTCATTGTAGTAAAGTCTAGAAAATTTCATTATATCATGTGGTTTACAGTTTTGATAATTTTCAGTTCTTAGTTCTAAGTATATTTAAGCGGTTTTGTAATGAATATAGTTGAGAATTGATATTTGAAATAAACTTTCAATAAAATTTGTAAATCAGAGTTACACTTAACGAATGAAAAATGCTGTTATACTTAACGAGTTATATTTAGGTTATACTTTTTCTAAACAGAGTTATACTAAACAAAAAAAAAATTGCAATCCGAGTTATACTCAACGGAAATAAAAATATCTTAATACGTTATGTTTGCTACCAGAAAACAGCGGTAGATAAAAAGGCAGACTATGTAAGCAAGCTTTCGTTATTACTAATTTTTTCTTCACGATTTTATTTGTACATAAATTTAACGTGAAGCTATCTTTAGCTACTGTTTGAAGATATTGTGAGAATGCTAGATAAAGCTTTAGAAGAAAATATTGCGTTTTTATTGGATGATTCATCAGAATAGTTTGTGTACATAACTAATCTGATGAATCACTTAACTAGAGAATGATTTTTTCAATTTTATAAAAAATTTATTGTACGTATATATTTATCTGTAAATAAAATTTTAAACAAAAACAAAAAGTATGATGTTTTTCGATTTATGTTTTTTAACTGGTATTCCTACACAAGAAAGTATATATACTGTTCAATACTTATTTGTATAGGTATATGTAAATAATTATTTGTATGTTCTATACAAAAGCAAATCTACTCACTTGTTTAAATTTAATATATAAACAAATCAGAAGATTTGATTATGTATTTGTTGTAAGTCTCTTATATGAATCTAATGCGGTTTTTGTTCTTATTTAGTGCGGTTTTAAATGTTACAGCCATATATGGAACGCAACAAAGCCATTCCATAAAGAAAAGCCGTAAATCTATTTTTAAAATGCCATTACCATATATGACCTAGAAAAAAATTTCTTGTCAAATAATTAAAAGTCTTTTTATTGTGTACAGCTGACTTTTTTTAATCTTCCAGCGATATTTTATTGTTACGTCATGAAGATAGATAAATACCACCGATAATAATGCGGGTATGAGTTTTGGTTAAGTTTATTTAATAGTCATCTTCAAAGATAACTGTAATATGTTGAAATATATCTTTGCACAAAAACTGCATTTTCTTTATATGGTCGGCTTTGTGCGTGTTTTTTTGATTGCTGAAAATAAATAGAATGAGAATTCTCATATATATTTGTTCTCAATATATATATTCAGGTTTCTATAGCAAATGCTCGCAAACAAAAGTTATGTCATGAGAATTTATAATAGAACTTGGATATTCAAGACTTGAATTGAGTTCATTAAAATTAAAATTGTACAAGTTAAATGGAAGTTTTCTTCCTTTAAATTTAACTCTTATTTTACCACTATGACTTTTAACTAGAATGTTGTTATAATTAGAATGCTAAAGATTGATGTTAGAATTGACCTTATGCCAAATAACAACGCTATTATAACACACCTGGCATTTTGGGATAGCCTTAGAGCAAACAAACTTTTAAATATATAATTATATGCAAAAATTCAGCGATTTTTGCATTAGCCGAGATTACTATTCTTATTTATTTGTTTGGATATGGTTTTTACTTCAGTAGAATTGTCAAAGTGTAAAATAGATTATTTAAAAATATATTTGTTATCGAGGAGTGTCATTCTCCAGGAAAGCCCAGGAAGTGAGCCAAGCGAGATACCTTTTGAAAGAAAAAGTTATTATGGCAGAAAACTTAAACCTACAAATGTTACCTACTACTGATAACCGCATCAATGAAATAAATAACAGTCAAGGAAGAAAGTTAGTTGTTGACGATATTCTACGTCTTCCATTTCCTAAAGATTTAAAAAGTAACTAGCCAAGTGGAAGTCAATATCTTCCTAATGCGACTTTAAAAGTCATTAAAGTTTAAGCTACTAATAAAATTGTAATAAAGGCGTTTATGGAAAAAACTTGAATATTCTGGGCATGTTAGAGATGTCACCTTGAATAACATTGTTGACAGTATTCGGTACTGTTACGTTAGAGCTATTGTTGTTCGACAGACAACAATAAACAAAAACTTATTTAGTTTAGGTATATTTTTATGGTTCAGAGTATTTTTTTACTGCTGAATGTTTGTGTATTGCAGGTTACAGTTCATGCTGTAAGCATGTCTTCAGTTTATTGAATTATATTGAGAATTATATTGAATTATATTGAATTATATTGAGAAAAGTCAGGTTAGGCTATAATAAAACATGGACTGGCAAAAAGCAACAATGAGATGTACTAGTTGAAAAGTATCAAAATAATCACAAACCTTGTGAGATGTGATTCAGTTATATTTAGGCGACGACATCCTGAAAATGAGGATAATGAACCTGGTCCGAGTTTAAATTTTTATGAACCTCGTTTACAAAAAGATAACTATGTCAGATATTCAGCTAAGGATTGGGAGAATATTGTTAAAACTACCAACGGTAGTGCAACTGGTTTGCAGTAAAAAAACAAGTTTTTATAAAATAAATATTGATTTTACAATTGCTACAAAATATCCTAAAACAATTGATGAAATAGTTTGTCTAACCGATATGAAATTGTTTTGATATAACTAAAAAACCTATCGAGCAAACTCTAATATAAAAAAAAAAAATAGAAATTAACAACAGACCAGTCAAATTCTCTTAGTTGGTTTAGTTATAGAAATGGTGTTATTACATTGTCATTATCCCATGAGGTTATTCAGAAAGTTAGTGATATACAAACAATTAAAAATCAAACATCCTATTTTGTGTAAAGAATTGTAAACATATTTCAAACAATTTCTATGTTAAAAAAATCAAAAATTTTCATAAAAAATTTAGTTTTGACAGAGCAGACATGACAATATGTTCTGAGTAACTTTTTCTGGGTGCAAGTCTTGATAGAATTATAATTGTAATTATTGTGAATTTGGTTTGTTAGAATGCAAATGTCCTTTTTCAGCAAAAGATGAAACCATTTTAGATTACCTTTAAAAGTTTTATTGTAAAAATATTTAAAGTTTTGCAATCGAACTAAATTACCCTTATTAAAATCAAGTTCAACATCAAATATTTGTTACAGCTGCCAGTTAGCAATTGTGACTTTGAAATTTACCCAAAGAATCTTGCACATTTTTTATTGATGAGGATCTAACAATGACATGCTTCCATATTTATTTGACATTTTATATATAACGATTTTATACATAATGTGGGCATTATAATCAAAATAAATGTTATAATACATTGTATTATAACCAATATTTTGATTTGCAATAGCAAGGTGTTTCCCAATAAAAAAAAAAGTATTTATTTTCTAGAGTTGAATTTTTGTAACTATGAACTAATTCAGGGAAATAGGCCAAGTTTAGGGAAATCAGACACTCTGTGTAAAACTTAATGTTTCATCTGGAGTAGACCAATATATTAATGGTTTAAATACTCGGGCTAATAAAGTTATAAATGTAATTGAAAATTTCTAAACGCGTGACTTACTAAAATTTTAAAGCAAAATCCTAAATCTTGTTTTGGTTCAAATGAACGGTTATAATCCATAAAGTAAGAAACTTTTATATGTTTATCTTGAAAACGGGTAACAATATATAAAAAAACATTTTCAGTTGGATACCTAGTATAAAATGTTATAACTTTGGATAAATAACGCACTGCCTCCCATGTTAATCTTTTATGACTACTTTATTTATAAAAAAATGTTGGTGTTAGATACGCTGTTGGCGTGTTAGTAAATAAGTTGAGTTGTTGTGGAGTTAGTTACTCATCAGATGATATTGATGAGAGACATGTAGGAAATATTGACAGATAAGGCTGTTGGAGAATGTTGCTGTTTTGTTACTGCTACTAGTATTGGTACAGGTACTTGGAAAATGTGTATTGTTTTTTTTAGAAACTAATATATAGAACTATAAAAGGGTATAATATATAAAAACTTTTAATAAGTGTATATCAAGGCATTGGTAGTTTTTTTTTGTTTTTTTTTTAGGAAATATTTTGTATCCTTTAAACCTTGGGTGATGGAACAGCTCAGTTGGATTCCTATATTCAAAATGATTGGCTCTTACTTTTTTATTCTTATTTACAGCATATAGCTTTTTTTTTCGATAAAGGTGATAAAGGGTATTTCTCTGTTAAAAATTTTACTCCATATGGAAAAATATTTTTTCCATATGGAATCAAAATGTCTTTCATATATGATCTTTCAAAACATTTCTTTGTATCAACGTTTGTTACAACCAAAAATTGCACAAACATCATTCTTAACCATTAAAAAAAAAGGTTGCAAATAAAAAAATAATAGTTGTAAACTAAATAGATAACAACAGTCAACTTTTAAAAAACTAATTAGAAAACAGAAGGATATATACAAATATAACTTTTGTTTGCTCCCAGGCTATCCAAAAATGCAGTGCATAGTTATAAAGACATTGTTATCTGGCAAAGGGTATATTGTGGCAACTGTTTTTTGATATTTTAATTTGTTTCCTGATGCACTCTAAACGGTTTAATAATAATAACAATGTTATTATCCCATACATCAGGTTTGAGTACTATTTCTTTGTCGCTTTTTTTGATTTTCACATTGAAGAAACGGTTGTACATGTTTTCTATATTAAACTTGATTTCTAGAGGTGTAATACCCATTTCTTTGTTCATGTAGTTTGATAAATCTTCTTCAGACACAGAGTTGAAAAACTATGCCTACAAATATATAAGACTCTTAAATAATACAATGTTATTACTCGACTGTATTGCTAAAAACAACTCACCAATTTCTCTTGACGCCAATTCGCTAAATTTTGCTAAATTTTAATCTGGTTTGTTATTTAAACTATTTTGCATAATATAATCCAAAATAGTTTTCGTAGTCAGCACAAACTATGCATAGTATCAAGTACTAACTTGATCCTGCAATACCCTAAATAGATTCTGAAAATAATTAGCATTTTTTTGAAGGAGGGAGACAAGCAATTTATATTTTGATATGATATGATGTCATATTTTGTTCGATAATGCTCAACTGAATGCTCGTTTTTGAAAATTTTATCAAAATAACATTTATAGTGTTCAATATACTCTATATTATAGTCTTTATAATATAATAAAAACATATGTTATAATAATTTTATAATAACAAAGTTGCACTAAAATCTTCCACTTGTTTACAAATGTATTATTTATTTTGAAATACATAAATGTATTATTTCTTACGATTTCTTAAAATTACTATTTATACAACTAAAAGTACACTATTTAACGTAATATTCAAATAAAACATTAGCAGAAAAACAATTTAAAACCATTATATTGAAAGATTTAAGTGCAACCGCCTTTGATGGTACATTATAAATAAAGACAATTTTAAAGAGAAAAAAATCTTAAGATATTTTTGACAGTTTTTCCGAATTTAAGAAATCTGTATTAGAAAAAATAAAACTAGTT